TTATCGTGGTGGAGGAGTTTGAGTGCCCTAATGATCCTAGGAGCTATGTTGTCTGGGGCACTTAGTGCCCCTGGTAGGGTCTCCCATGACAAATTGGTCTTAGGTGAAGGGTGAGACAAAGAACGGTTCGAAGGATCTTTCATGGCGGTTAAAACGAAGAGTCGGAGTACCCGGCCCGGAGGGTTACCGGGGTCCCACCCTGGAGCCAGGCCTGGGGTTGGGGCCCGTGAGCGAGCGCCTGGTGGCCGGGCTTTCGCCCATGGGGCCCGGCCGGGCCCAGCCCGAACCGGATACATGGGCTCGTCCAACTGTGGACCCACCACCCGCAGGAGGAACATGAAGGGTCCGGTGCAATGCGAATCGGGTGGCAGACCAAGGCGGGAGCCTTGGCGGTCCAATCCCCGGACAAGAAAACTAGTTTTTGGGACATGGAACGTCACCTCGCTGGCGGGGAAGGAGCCGGAGCTTGTGGCAGAGGTTGAGCGGTACCGGCTAGATATAGTCGGACTCACCTCGACACATTGCATTGGCTCTGGAACCCGAGACCTGGAGAGGGGTTGGACACTCTACTTTGCTGGAGTTGCTCCGGGTGAGAGGCGGAGGGCTGGGGTTGGCTTTTTGTTAGCCCCGAGACTCTCTGCCTGTGTGTTGGGGTTTACCCCGGGGGACAAGAGGGTAGCTTCCTTGCGCCTTCGGGTCGGGGAACGGGTCCTGACTGTTGTTTGTGCTTATGGGCCAAATATCAGTTCAGAGTACCCACCCTTTCTGGAGTCCCTGGGACGAGTGCTAGATAGTGCTCCATCAGGGGACTCCATTGTCCTGCTGGGGGACTTCAATGCTCACGTGGGCAATGACAGCTTGACCTGGAGGGGTGTGATTGGGAGGAACGGCCCACCTAATCTGAACTCGAGCGGTGTTTTGTTATTGGACTTCTGTGCAAGCCGCAGTTTGGCCATAACGAACACCATGTTCGAACATAAGGATGCCCACCGGTACACTTGGTACCAGGGCAGCCTAGGTCACAGGTCGATGATAGATTTTGTAGTCGTATCATCTGACCTGCGGCCGTATGTTTTGGACACCCGAGTGAAGAGAGGGGCGGAGCTGTCAACTGATCACCACCTGGTGGTGAGTTGGATCAGATGGCAAGGGAACATGCCGCGTAGACCTGGCAGACCCAAACGCATAGTGAGGGTCTGCTGGGAACGCCTGGCAGAAGAACCTGTCAAGACGGTCTTCAACTCCCACCTCCGGCAGAGCTTTGACCACGTCCCGAGAGCAGTGGGGGACATTGAGTCCGAGTGGGCCTTGTTCCACTCTGCGATTGTCGAGGCGGCTGTTGCTAGCTGTGGTCGTAAGGTGGCCGGTGCCAGTCGTGGTGGCAACCCCCGTACCCGCTGGTGGACACCAGAGGTTCGGGGAGCCGTCAGGCTGAAGAAGGAGGCCTACAGGGCGTGGCTGGTCTGTGGGTCTCCGGAGGCAGCAGACAGGTACCGGATAGCCAAGCGGGGTGCAGCAGTGGCAGTTGCCGAGGCAAAATCTCGGGCGTGGGAGGAGTTTGGTGAGGCCATGGAGAAAGACTATCGATCGGCTCCAAAGAGGTTCTGGCAAACTGTCCGGCGCCTCAGGAGAGGAAGGCAGCAACTCGCTCACACTGTTTACAGTGGGGATGGGGAGCTGCTGACGTCAACTGAGGCTATAGTCGGACGGTGGAAGGAATACTTTGAGGAGCTCCTCAATCCCACCAATGCGCATTCCGAGGAGGAACCAGAGCTGGGAGGCCTGGGGATGGACTGTCCGATCTCGGGGGCAGAAGTTGCTGAGGTAGTCAAACAACTACACAGCGGCGGAGCCCCGGGGGCGGATGAGGTTCGTCCTGGGTATCTCAAGGCTATGGATGTTGTAGGGCTGTCATGGTTGACACGTCTCTACAACATTGCGTGGTCATCGGGGGCAGTTCCTAGGGAGTGGCAGACCGGGGTGGTGGTCCCCATCTTTAAGAAGGGTGACCTGAGGGTGTGTTCCAACTATAGGGGGATCACACTCCTCAGCCTCCCGGGAAAGGTCTACGCCAAGGTACTGGAGAGGAGGGTCCGATCGATAGTTGAATCTCAGATAGAGGAGGAGCAATGTGGTTTTCGTCCTGGCCGTGGAACTGTGGACCAGCTCTATACCCTTGCAAGGGTGATGGAGGGGGCATGGGAGTTTGCCCAACCAATCCACATGTGCTTTGTGGATTTGGAGAAGGCTTATGACCGTGTCCCCAGGGGCACCCTGTGGGGGACGCTCCAGGAATATGGGGTGGGTGGCTTTCTGTTAAGGGCCATTCAGTCCCTTTACCAGAGGAGCGTGAGTTTGGTCCGCATAGCCGGTAGTAAGTCGGACCTGTTCCCAGTGAGGGTTGGACTCCGCCAGGGCTGCCCTTTGTCACCGGTTCTGTTCATCACTTTTATGGACAGAATTTCTAGACGCAGCCGTGGTGTGGAGTGTGTCGAGTTTGGTGGCAGGAGAATCTCGTCTCTGCTTTTTGCGGATGATGTGGTCCTCCTAGCTTCATCCAGCTCTGACCTTCAGCTCTTGCTGGGTAGGTTCGCGGCCGAATGTGAAGCGGCTGGGATGAGGATCAGCACCTCCAAATCTGAGACCATGGTTCTCGACCGGAAAAGGGTGGCTTGCCACCTCCGGGTCGGGGGAGAGGTCCTACCTCAAGTGGAGGAGTTTAAGTATCTCGGGGTCTTGTTCACGAGTGAGGGTAGGAGGGATCGGGAGATCGACAGGCGGATTGGTTCGGCGTCTGCAGTGATGCGGACGCTGAGCCGATCTGTCGTGGGGAAGAGGGAGCTGAGCCAGAAAGCCAGGCTCTCGATTTACCGGTCGATCTACGTCCCAATCCTCACCTATGGTCATGAGCTTTGGGTAATGACCGAAAGAACGAGATCGCGGATACAAGCGGCCGAAATGAGTTTCCTCCGTAGGGTGGCCGGGCTCAGCCTTAGAGATAGGGTGAGGAGCTCGGACATTCGGGAGGGACTCGGAGTAGAACCGCTGCTCCTCCGGATCGAAAGGAGCCAGTTGAGGTGGTTGGGGCATCTGGTCAGGATGCCTCCTGGACGCCTCCCCGGGGAGGTGTTTCGGGCATGTCCTGCCGGCAGAAGGCCCCCGGGTCGACCCAGGACACGTTGGAGAGGTTACATCTCCAATCTGGTCCGGGAACGCCTTGGGGTCCTGCCGGAGGAGCTGGTGGACAAGGCCGGGGAGAGGACGGCCTGGAGCTCCCTAATTGGGATGCTGCCCCCGCGACCCGGACCCGGATAAGCGGAGGAAGACGAAGACGAAGACGATTAATTACTTAGGTTATTTATTTATTTAATTAAAATCAGCTCAAAGCTAAGCTAAAAAGACGGGTCTTGAGCTTGTTTATAAAAACATGAACTTCTCTGCGGCCCTGAGGTCCCCTGGCAGCTTGTTCCAGAGGCGAGGACCGTAGTACTGGAAGGACGCCTCGCCGTGAATATGAGACCTGACTTATGGGATGACAAGGACACGGCTGACAGAGGAGCGCAGAGACTGCGTGGGCTCATACGGTAAAAGCAGTTCTGAAAGATAAGAAGGCCCAAGATCATTAAGACACTTAAAAACCATTAGAAGTATTTTAAAAATTAGCCACTTCTCTGGAGTTGGGTTGCGGAGGCAGCGGCCTAAACAGAGAGGCCCAGACTTCCCTCTCCCCAGCCACTTGGGCCAGCTCCTCCGGGGAATCCCAAGGCATTTCCTGGTCAGCCGAGAGACTAAAGCCACATACACAGCATTGGTACGGTCTGGGGAGAATAGCATCAGTTTGGTCTGGAGCGAGCAGTGTAGTGTTCACATATAAAGCCGAAGGACCTCTAAGGTATGTGGAAATCCCCAAGCATGTGCAGCAACACTCAGCAACACACACTTAGGGCCTTGGGAGTGAGCACACTCAACACAATTTGGCAAAGGAATCTTTCAGCCCCATCCCGCGTGCCGTAGCCCACTCCAATTTTAAACTACACTTAGACACCGAGGGCTGTGGGTCCAAGTGGGGTGGTGTGATGGCATCAGCTGGCGTAGGCCAGACCATGCCTGCACTGCCCGCTCACCCCAGCCATGGAATACACCTCATCAACACACATCAACACTGTACTGGAGCAGGTGGAGGGAGACTAGGGCTCTTAGCACACCTCTGTTGTTGCTTGGCATTTTCTCCGACCATCTGATCCAGCTCACCACCAAACATATGGTCTCAGGTACAACTACAAAGTCAATCATTGACCTGTAACCTAGGCTGCCCTGGTACCAGGTATACCGATGGGCATCACCATGTCTGAACATGATGTTTGTTATGGCCAAACCACGACCTGCGCATATGTCCAACAATAGAAACACCCCTCAAACTCAGATTAAGTGAGCTGCTCCTCCCAATCACACCAGTCCAGGTCACGCCATCATCCTTTTTCTCCTGTAAATATCTACTCAATGAGATTTGGTGTCTCTTTTGAATAACAATCATCTTGTTTCTATTGGATTAAGAAGGAAAAAAACTGTTGCAAAAAGAGTGTGGATAGTTTTTCAATGGGATGTTGACATTAGCAGAAAATTAAGTGAAAATACACAAATATATCCATAAATATTACTAGTACTTTTAGTGGCGAGTCCAACCAATGTTACTCCCTAAGCATCTTTAATCTGCTTTTATTATAAAACTACAACAACCTTCAAACCTGGACTATCTAATTTCCCACTTATGGCTGAGTCCAACAGTTTGTGATAAGTGAAACCTTTATCTGATTTGTCAATTAATTGATTTCAGCATTTTATTATTATTAATAATAATAATAATAATAATAATAATAATAATAATAATAATAATAATGCATTTAATTTATAGGCTCCTTTCAAAACCCAAGGTCACCTCACAAAACATGATGAAACATACACAAAAATAAGAATAAGGTAATTTAAACAATAGAATTACAAAGAATATACTATAAATTGCAGGGTGGAGAGTTTGTGGACTAGACAGTGTAAGCCAGCTTGAACAGGTGAGTTTTGAGTTTAAATTTGAATGAAAGGAGGGAGTCTGTGTTTCGGATGTCAGGAGGAAGTGAGTTCCAGAGCCGAGGAGCTCGACAGAAAGCTGTTTCCAACAGTGGTGAGACGAACAGGAGGAACCACAAGGTGAATGGCAGAGGAAGACCTGAGGGAGCGAGATGGGACAGCAACATGGATGAGAGTGGAGAGGTAAGGAGGGGCGAGACAGTGGATTTGTAGGTGAGAAGCAGGATTTTGAAGGAGATTCTGTGGTCAGCAGCCAGTGGAGACGCTGAAGAACAGGGTTGATGTGTGCAGCAGCATTTTGGAGGAGTTGGAGCCGATGAAGGGATTTATGGGGGAGGCCAAAAAGGAGAGAGTTTCAGTAGTCACTCCTAGAAGTGACTAGGCTGTGTACGAGGATGGCTGTTGCACGAGGAGTGAGAGAGGGGCGGAGTAGGTTGATGTTGCATAAATGAAAGTAGGCTGAGCGAATGATGATGTTGATGTGGGCTTTAGAGTGCTGCCAAGAATGACAACAAGACTTTTTACATGGGGGGAAGGAAGGATGGAGGAATTGTCTGTTAACGGATATGCTGGGAGATTTGTTCAGAGTGGAGGGTTTCCCTACGCGTGGATTTTCAGTTTTATTGCTGTTGAGTTTCAAGAAGTTTCAGGAAGTTTGATGAGAAGAATGATTTTATCTCAAGGAGACCATTATTTAGGTCTGTTTGTCTTGCATCTGGGCTACAAAGGAACTGGTCTAGCTTAAAAACTACAACACTAGTATCCCCAGCTCCCTTCCCAGAGGGCTAATATCCAGCAAGTTTTATACTTGCTCCTGATTGTACCCAGGACTGAGCGTAAATTTAGAGGAGATCGCGCTTTTGCTGTTGCAGCTCCAAAACTGTGGAACGAACTTCCTTTAGAGATAAGACAGACCAGTTCCTTATCTGTTTTTAAGGCACTCCTGAAAACCCACCTCTTTACCCTGGCTTTTGATACCTTGTGAGATGTTGGTTTCTAGTTTTTATTTTATTTTAGCTGTTTTAGGTGATTCAATGCGGTTTTATCAAGTTTTTATTTTTTAATATAGGGCTATTTTAATTTTATGTATCATGTGTTTTATTTATCTTTGCTGTTTTCTGTTTAGTCAATTGTTTTAATGGATTTTCTGTACAACACTTTGTTCCTGTGCTGGGTCTTTTAAAGTGCTTTATAAATAAAACTGTATTGGATTGGATTCTTTTATCCAACACAATTGATTCACCTGTTCAGCAGCTCATCGGGCTCTGCAGAGGCTTGCTATTCACCTGCTGATTAAAATCAAGTGTGTTGAAGCAGGAAAAACAGCAAATCATGCTGGATACCTGCCGTCGGGGAAGGGAGTTGGGGATCACTGACCAAGAGCCTATGAACCTGGACTAGATTATTGTAAAACACAATCCGTAAAGCATTGTTTGTGATTTGTGAAAATGTTCTGGATTTGTGGAAAACACTGCTTAGCTTCTAATTAGCAAATTTGGGAATGAAATTTGCGTTCAAATGCACAAACTGTGAAACTAATCTTGCCTGGACGGGCAATTTGCTGGATGCCCAGCACCCCTAAACGTCTGAAGCTAGAATCGCCCCGGGTTGGCAACACTAGAATATAAAGTCTGGCCAAGACTCACGAACAAATCCCAGTCATGAGGTGGAATCTACAGTTCTTTTTCAAGTTGTCTCCGCAGAAGAAAATGCAAATACGTCATTTTTCTAAATAAAGGTCTTGCCATGAGCCGGGGTGAGTACTCGTCACATCATTCACCACCTTTGAGCTCTGATTACAGGAGAGGGAGCTACAGCTGTTTCTCGTCAGCGGGCCGGCTATATAAGGAGGAGGAGGACCAGATTACGACGCCGGATGATTGCCGTTTACTGGTAGTCGCTTGCCTCCGAGTTTTTCCCCTCTGTTTGCTCCTTTATATTTGAACTTTGAATTTTTGGAATATTCGCTCATTAATGTTTGATACCTACCTCAGGTTCCTATTCCTGGATTACGTGCTCTGCCCCTGGAAGGAAATCTCTGGTTCGTTCCTGTATCTCCTCCACCTGCCGACCCGCTCTCCACCTTGCTCACGCTCCCTCTCCGGATCAATATCCTCGCTCATTCTCCTACTCACCTTAATCTTGGACCGCTTCCTCATCTTGGATATCACCACGGCTCACTCCCCTCCTAACAACAACTTCACTTCCGCACAGTAAGTCAGACTACAAATCAAAGACTCCCGGAACTATAAACACCAGACTCACCTCTGTTTTCCTGTAGACGCCGGTTCCGGATTCTGCAACCCGCTGGACTTCAGTGCGCCCTTAGTTTTCCCGTTTAATAAATATCATTTTACCTTTTACTATCCAACTTGTCTCCGGTCTCTGATTCTGCATGTCTTGGGTTAAGCACATACCTCAGAACATGACAGGTCTTAAGTACCTTCAGCTGCTCTAGAGTCAAAGAAAAGCCCAAGTCTAAATAGTCCAACGTTGACGCCAAATCTGTTTCAAACGAGCCAACGCCATTTTTTTTTCACTCTTATCGCATCATCCCACCCTCCAAACCGATAGAGTGCTTTGATTGGCTAGGCACACCACTGCTGAGGCTTCAGTGGAGTGTGGCCTGACCGACATGCAGAGACATGTATAGAAATGAAGGTAAACCAATGTTCTAAACTGAAGATAAGATGTAATAGACCTTAAATCAGCAGGTAAATAGTTGCAAGTAGAATGGAGCTTTGATGGAAAAAGCCAGCTCCCCTGACTCCTTTTGAAAACGAGGAATCACAAATGAAATCTGAGTTCTGGGAACGTTGAAGTGAGACCAGAACAGTATTGTCAAAGTAGTTAAATAAGATGAAAATTTTAAATGAACACGTTTTTAAAATAAACAGGAACCATAACTTCTGCCTAGCTCCAGCCGAAAGCCAGGACAAGAACCTACCACAGAGTCTGCCTAAGTGACTTACATGAGTTTTAGATCCGTTTTTTTTTTGGTGTAAGCAAGTTATAAATAAGGACCTGGTTCCTTAAATGTTAATGTCTGAATTTCTTTGGCTTTGTAACAAATTCCAACATACAAACATACTGACTCATCAGAAATCCCATGCAGACTTTGAATTATCCAACACTAACCAGAGATAACAGAAAAACTATTATTTCTCTTTTCTGGAAGGTTCTTTTCACAGGCTGAGCAGTAACATAATCCATTATTCATTCATCATTCCTTATTTAAGGCAGACTGATGATGCTCTAGCAGAAGCGGAGTCAGGACAAACATATATGCTTATGGTGGTGAGTTTTGCAGACTTGGTGCCACAGAACACTGAAGTTCAGCACCCGTTTTCTTAATTAGAGTCTGCAGTGAAGACAGACAATGGGCTTCTGATTGAATATGCTTGTTAGTAATAACAAAAGAAAAGTGCAGGGCATGCATTAATAATAATGCACAACTTGGGAAAACGGCACATTTTATTTTTGAATGTGATGCAGACAACAAAATGTTCTCTCGACTTCCTGGAGTTTACACATTTTGATAGGTAAAGCGAAAAAATCAACACTGTCTTCCAAAACTCATTCTTTAATAAATAGCAGGAAAAAAAACAACCCGTCAGAGCTCTAGAGTTACGAACAGATCCATCTGGGGCAAATAAATGCTTTAATTCATAATCCAGCCATACATCAATTTTTTGGATGTGAAGAGGATGTGTGTGTGTGTGTGTGTGTGTGTGTGTGTGTGTGTGTGTGTGTGTGTGTGTGTGTGTGACTGGAAGACCAGGTGGCTGAAATGTGCATTCTCTGAAGGTTGGCCAGACTCCGTAATCCAGAGGTGAGGAGCTTCATCATCTCTGCTCTTCCTCTTCAAATGAAGGTCGTTGAGTTGGTGGCGGCATTGGATTCAGCTGCTTGGTGGCCATTCCTTGAAGGTTTCCTAGACAGCTTCCACTAGAACAATGGTTCTCAATTATTTGAGTATGTGTGTGCATCAGTATGTAGGTGAGTCCGTGAACACGCTCCCTGTTTAGTCAGTGTCTGTCGTCTAAGATGTCGTGATACGACCTGTCGGCGAGCTGATCCAAGGAGCTCACAAGCCCATGAGAGGAACAGGGGAGGGAGGGGCAGAGCATCAGTCTGCATAAACATCTATGGGAGTTTAGAGATCTTCAGCCTTCAGGCCAACGTGGGGGAGCCAGATTTAACAATTTGTTTTGGTACAGGCTAGAGCTAGTGGCTCTGCCTTATGTCTCTCCGCGGTCTCAAGGGGGACTCCAATCAACTGAAACTGGGTCAGTTTCCACCAAGCCGAGCTAAGAACTACTCCAAGTGGTTCCTCCCTCCGTTGATGAGTTTAGCAGCCTGTTTGCAGCTCAGAGCATCTAGCTCACAGTTTAGTTTGTGCAATGCATGAGTCTGAGCGTTCACAACACGTCCCGTCGTCGGAGTTAGGCAGCTTGCCAAGTGCTCTTGACAACTTCAAAAACAGCAGCAACCCAGTTATCACGAATGTCTGGGTTTTTGTGCAGAACCTGTTACCTCGGTGACCCAACCTTGACCAAGCACAGGATTCGGTCTTAAGGTGCAGAATCTGACCCCGTCACACTACAACGAGGCATTGCAAGCGCTGGTTTCTTACTTTCATCTGTTCATCATTCAACTACAAAAGCCGACTTCAGATCCCCTTTGTGATGTGTGTGTAGATTTATTTCACTTTGAAGCTCCTGCGTACAAAACAAACCCAAAATCTGTGAACAAGATAGCTTCAGAAGATATGTCAGCTTAGTGACTGCAGCTTGTCTTGTTGCACTGGGAATAAAATCAATAAAGGTGTCTCAGCTTTTAGCTACAGCGATCTTATCCTCCTTTTATTATCAAAATTGTTGCTGTGATGATCAAACAGTCCTGGCATGAAAGGCATCAAAAGTCGTGGAGCTAACCTGAGAGAAGTCGCACAGAAGGAGCTTTCTCTTAACAGATATTGCTGAAATTAAAAACCCATCACTGTAGCGCTAACAGCAGCACAGACATGCAGAGGTATCACAGCTACATCAGTAACAACCCGCTGGTACTGGGGAAGAATTTTATTTATTATTATCATTTGTATTAAAGCAGGTTTTTGATGTTTTTGTTCAGACAAAAACAAGCAATAGATTTCTTTCTATTTTCAACTTTATTCTGATTTTCCTAAAATTAGAAATTTTGTTCCCAAACAGCTCAGAGGGATAGTTCAGATCTTTAAGTTTCATCAACTTGGAACACATCATCTCCGGCCTGTTGGAGGCTTTTTGAACAACCTCAGTTTAGAGAAGTAACAATGACATCAGGTTATCTGATTGAGGAGCTAACCGCTAGCCTTGGTTTCAAAGTGGGCGTTAGAAAACAACTCAACATTTTTAAAAGTCTACTTGACATTTTACTTGCTGGGGACGTGCTACAGTTGGCTAGTTTCACTGCTAATATTTGCTGCAACATATCTGTAATAACTGTCATGCTTATTCATGGAAGGCTTTAAAGGTTTATAAAATAATAATAAATAATAATAATAATAATAATAATAATAATAATAATAATAATAATAATAATAATAAATAAAATTGTGTATAGGTTAAAGTAGTTTCATTGTGGCTTAAACCCACACTGAGCTAACTGGTTGTTAGCTCGACAATCCAGGAATAAATAATCTTTGTTTTTTTTTTTTGGATTGGAGTCATTAAAAGACCAGTTTAGACCAGTTTCTGTCAGATTAACACATTGCTGTCTTTCTGCTGCAGGAAAGGTGCTGTGCAAAAATTTTGTTTCATCCCTAATTTTTTGTAGTTGTCTTCAAAACGAACTGTTTTATTGGTCTTTATCAAAAGTAATTTCAACTACCTGAAGGGTGTTCTTATTTCTTTGGACTTTGACAGGCTTTAATTATTATTATTATTATATTTTAATTAATTTGTTTGTTTTTGCCTCGACATCTACATGATGGCAAACCAACCTACAGTAGGCATCACTGTGGAAGAGTAGCGAAGGTGGTGGATCATCACCCACTGACATCTCCACAATCAGAGGAACCTTGGTTCTGGTCAGTAGTTGGGCCTGCACCTTACATAGTCTGTTAATACAGCTAACATCTGTGTGAAGGTTCATCAACAACTCTATTATGTGGAGCCTACAAATGCTGGTCTCAGCCCATCTGATAAGGTTTTCACCTTGTTTTGATTTTTGGATACACGCAACTCCAAATTTCAAATTGACTTTTAAAAACTACTGCTCAGTCCTGCTTCATCTGATTAAAGGAAGTTTGGCTCCCTGGAAGCAAACGATGAGCTCTCTGACAGGAACTGGAGAATACATCCTGGCTTTGGTAACGTTTCAGAGGGTTCTGCTGCTTATATAACAAACAAACAAGCTTTCCCAGATATGAGCAAAGAATGTATCCCTTCATTTGTTGAGTTAAAATAAATATTTCACTGCTTGTTTCAATGTGAGATCTTTCTGTTGCAGCTGACTCCAACATAAATAATCTTTGGAGAAAAATATTTTTCTTAAAGTATTAATAGTGAAACTGAGTGAGAGGCGTTCTTGTGCAAAAGCTAATGTCTATTTTTTTCTCTTGTACTTCATTGGTATCATTCCTAGAAACTGTTTCAGTAAACTGCATGCTTGTTGACCTACTGCTACACAGGGTGAAAGGGGATGAATGTGAAGGATAAAGACGTCAGATGCTGAAGTTTGATTTCATGCCATCAGAAGTCCTAAAGGATGGGGAAATGTCTGTTTCATACAGTCTAAAACCGCTTCTGCGGTTCCTGTTGCCGTGCACTCTGAAAAAGATAAAGGGACTTCTGTTGCTATTGCTGACGCAAGTAGTCGTGATCTTCTTTCAGTTGTGTCTCTAGATGATTCTTGTCTTTCCTACGTCTCCTCTTCGTCCTTTCTCCTCCTCGGCTTGGTGTTACCTATCAGGCGGAGACAGAGGACAGAAAGTGCTATTAATATCCTGGCTGGAAATTCTTTAAATGCTCACGTGTACACCCTGCTGTTTGCAGAGCATGCTATTATTGGAGAAGCATGCAGGTAAAAATAGCCAAAAAGCAGCAATTGGCTTCTGTGTGCACATAGTGAGTCAAGCACAGCTAAGAGAATTCCTCACGGTGAACAGACACGAAGTTCAAGCCCTTTTAGAAAGATTAAACGAGCATGATGAAAAGGATCGACTGGACAATTGAATGATTTGACCTCTCCTTTGTTAAATAATTGCTAATCTTTATGTATCATTTGAAGTCCCTTTGGATTAACATGATGTCCTCGGGGTCAAGATTTGTGCAGGAAGATCTGAGCTGTTATGAGAATAAAAGAATAAAACCAGTAAAATCTGTGAGATATTTGCATCACCTGAAGAGGCGAGATATTCTGACCACCAGATGGTGAGAGTGAAGGAGAAAGAAAGCATCCAGCTTGTTTATTTCAAGAGGTTTTATGTAATAAGACAAAATCTGGTTTCCAACAGGTTCCAAGATTATCCAAATGAAGAAAAACTCAGCAGATACCAAAATGTTATTAAATACAAATACAACATGGAAAGGTGTAAAAGTCTACGCCTGCTGCAGAGGTTCAGTATGAAGCAGGAGCTTCTGATTAGATGGACCCATCTACTGATCATCACCTGTGTGAGCTGCTCTGGAGCATACAGGCGTGTGTTAACACACCAGCAACAACCTCAGAAAACAGCTGTTGCCACCCACACATCTGGTAAGGGTTAAAGGACATTTCTGCACAACGTAGAGTCCATCATTCTGTAGAGAAAAAGGTTATTCACCAGGTAAAAACATCTGACCAAGAATGGACATTCCCAAGGATCCCCCCAAGGGTAGACTGAATAAAACCCAAATAAGGTAATGAGGCTTAGTTGGGAAAGCTGCAAGATAACTTTTTAAAAGCTAAAACCACATGACGGTCAAATCTAGGATGGAAAGTTTCATCTGAATTAAGTCTCGTTTACTCCAAGAGCAGAACGGATGCATGCTGGAATCTTTGCTGCTTCAGGACGGACTGCCATTGACAGCAGCTGCTGGTCGCGTGTGGAACGTCAGCGTTGCTCACAATTTCACACTACTCCACGCGATAGCCACCACGTGTTTAGAGAGGCGCTGGTACGCAAAGACCAGTTTTGTTAAGAAAAAGTAAGTAAGTAAGTAAGTAAAAGTTTATTTATATAGTGCCTTTCTCAGATATGAATCACAAAGCGCTGTACAACATGATAAAGATCAGGTCAAATACCTCTAACCAATAAAAACATCAGAAAAACAATAGCAGTGATAAACGTAGAAAATAAAATCTTGAGTATAAACAAAGTGAAGGTGTGAACCCGAACAAAGCCATCTTTTTGAAACATTTAGGGAGGGAACGCCTGGATGAAAAGGTGAGTTTTTAGATGATTTTTAAAGACCTCTACAGTGTTAGAAAGACAGAGATTTGAAGGTAGACTGTTCCAAAGTCTGGGTGCAATAGTCTGAAAGGCCCTGTCCCCTTTGTTTTTCAGTCTGGTTCGAGGAACAGCCAGGAGGTTTTCAGATGTGGATCTAAGGTTCCGAGAGGTGGTGTGTGGGGATAAAAGCTCAGATAGGTAGCTTGGAGCCTGGTTGTTAAGAGCTTTATAGGTCAGGACTAAAACTTTAAACTGTATTCTATATTCTACCGGGAGCCAGTGGAGGGACTGTAAAACTGGAGTGATGTGAGCTCGTCTGCTGGATTTGGTTAGGAGTCTGGCTGCTGCATTTTGGATGGCTTGAAGGCGTGAGAGGGAGGTTTTGCTGAGACCAGTAAAAAGAGCGTTGCAGTAGTCTAAGCGTGATGACACAAAGGCATGGATGATTTTTTTCCAGATCTGCAGTAGAAACCAGTTTACGGACTTTTGAAATGTTTCTCAGTTGAAAGAAACAAGAGCGGGAGATGGTTTTGACGTGTGAGTCTAAACTTAAAGCTGGATCAAAAATAACTCCTAGGTTTCTAATGTTGGCCTTGGCTGATGGGCAAAAGGAGGCAATTTCTCGCTCGATTTTTGGCTGAAGTTCCGGGGGTACAGCGATCAGGGTCTCTGTCTTGTTAGCATTTAGGACAAGAAAGTTGCTGGACAGCCAGTTACTGATCTGGGTCAGGCAGAGTACAAGTGTGGCCAGCCTGTCCAACTGGTGTGGCATAAAGGACATATAGAGCTGATTATCGTCAGCGTAGATGTGGTAGGAGATGTCTGGGAAAGACTGAATGATGCCAGATAGGGGAAGAATATAGAATGCGAATAGTAGAGGCCCTAGAACTGAACCTTGTGGGACCCCGCATGTTAGAGAGGCAGTATCTGAAGAGAAGGTTTCGGACTTCACTGTGAATGTTCTGTTAGTGAGATAGGAAGAGAGCCAGTCTAGAGCAGAACCTGAAATCCCAGCCAGGACCTTTAACCTGTTTAGTAGAACGTTGTGGTCTACAGTGTCAAAAGCTGCACTGAGGTCTAGCAGGACCATGACAGAGCATTTCCCTGCATCAGCAGCCATCAGGAGGTCATTATGCACCCTTACTAGAGCAGTCTCAGTTGAGTGCTGCTTCAGAAAGCCAGACTGGAAGGGGTCAGAGATCTTTGACTTAGAAAACCAGGATCTGAGTTGGGTTCCAACAACCTTCTCAAGTACAAGCACAAGCATGTAAAAATAAAAGCAAACAAAATCAACAAGTTTTAAAAAATGCTGAACATAAAGGTCGGAAAATAGTACAAGAGACATAAAAACATATTAAGTAACGTTCAGGAGCAGCACAGAACTAACATCCAGGAAACGTGGAGAGTTCTGAGCTATTTGATTAAAAAAACCAATGCAAACGTTCTCCAGTTCTCCAATTATAGACCGATCTCTATTTTCTCTCAGCTTTCAAAAAAATTAGAAAATCCATTTCTGAAACAACTGGATAACTTTATAGAAAAATACGTTACTAACTGATTTTATGGGTTTTGAGCTAGACAATCAACCTCACCGACCTGAAGCCAGTGTGTGATATTTGTACCTGTTTACTATCAAATCCTGTTTCCATTTCATAACCTTGTCCTTTTTCATTCATATTCTGACTAACATCAATGCTACATATAATCCTCTTAAATAGATAAACTATGGTCGATGCTCCATGGTCATCCACCAGCTTGAATTACAGTAACTGTTTGGGGACAAAAAAGCTCCACGTTGTGCGTTTGCACTATGACTAACCTGAAAGAAACAGCAGAGGGCAGCAGTGCACCCTGGAAGCATGAAGTCTGCTCATACAACTTAGCCATGGTGCAGATGGATGTAAGTAAATGGTAACAACTAGCATTTCATCATTAACTCATTCACTGCCAATGATGACTAAAGTCGTCATTTGTATTTTTTACTGTGTGGGCGTCGGACGAGCCCCCGCACCGTGAGAGCAAACATCTCAGCTCTAAAGCCGATCTTCATCCGCATACGTCACACGTCACGTGATCAGGAAGCAGAAAATCCATGTGTTAGGAGATCGTTTTGGGCCGCTGCTGTAAAAAAAGTGAGGCGCGAGCCAGAAAAGCTTCAACAACGGATTATGAAAGAACGTATAATGCTTGAAACACGCGGATTCTTCCTGATGTAAGAGGTGAGTCTCCTCTTTGTTTTGGTAGTTTTGGCGTCGACATCATCCTAAAGTTCTGGGACTCTCAAAAAACGGTGAGAAACACCGGCAACAAAGAGCTTTACCGATGAGGAAACGGCCGGCAGCGAATGAGTTAATGATCCAAACTCTGACCTGAATAATCAGATCCCCTACAGATGAAAATGATTTGGACTCGGGACTACATTACAACAAAGCACTGCTGTAAGCCGCCAGTGAAAGGTACATGGACATGGCCCCCAAGCTCCCTGTTTACTGTCATAAGGATAAAATGTTTTAAATGTTACACAGTAAACCTGAAAATGACAGTCTGCCAGACATCACGCCACTGTGATGTGTCCTTTTGCCTTTTAGCGACAGTTTACCACCGTGCTTTGTTGTAACATAGTCCAGAGTCTGAATCAGCTCCTGTAACTCCTTTGTGTTACTTTGTTTTCTTTTGCAGCCGGTATGATTAATGAGGTCACCATGCAACATTTATTTAGCATCGTACATACTTAGCTAAAGCTAACAGAATAGTGCTGGATTAGATTGAAAGGGCTGGTTACAAAATGCTTTTCCCATCGTCTCCATCTGTGGGGATTATGGAGGGATAGGGTTAGGGTGGGTTAGGGTTATTCTCTATTTCTGGGGATTATGGAGACAGACTACGTTTCATGTAGGGGTGGAATATCCCTTTAAGGAAAAGCATCATTTTAAATTCATGATAAAATTGTATCTGTGATCAGAGAAAACCTGCAACCTTTGTGTTGAAAGAGGAAGTGCGCTTATTAAAAGCTTGGAAGCTTTTTCCTGAGCCCACGGTGGTCTTGAGGCTTGAAGACAGTTTCCTGTGGTAAAGCTCAGTCAGCTTTAGAGTTTTAAACAAGTCTATGTATTGTTTTCACTTCTCAGCTTTTTGAATTTAGCCTTCCAGAGTTAAGGGCTCGAAATGGAGAGAACAGTGAGAGGCAAAAAGAAATCCAGTATTTAATGTGCACACCCAACAATGCCAGTGAGAAAACTGTAGGACTGGGGGGTAGAAAGGTGTATGCACACTTCAACTTTAAACAATAACTTTTTGCCTGTTAAAATATACTAATAAATAATTATGTTACACGTTGGCGTAGTTCTGTTGGGCTGACTTTTAACCATTCAGAGGCATTTGATCAAATTAGAATATCGTGTAAAAGTGAAACTCATATAGATTCATCACCTAACTCAAAAGGGTTTCCTAAGCATCTGAATGGTCTCAGGCTGGGTCAGCAGGCTGCTTAGAAACTCCTTTTTTGGGCCATTGGGTGTATCTTTGATTAGATGGTTAGGGTTAAACTCTGATCACGGGTTTAGGGTGTTATATACCATCTTGACAAGGCATTAAAATGTTTGTCATGTGTGTATATTCTGTTTTGGGTAGGATGTTAGTGTTTTCACCATAAATGACAGCTACTGAAAAGTGTCATGTTGTGTGGCAATAGTCTAACCCACGACATACAGGATCAGTCCACGAACCAGGGTGAGAGTTTCAAAAACGATCATTTATTAAAAGGGAAACTAAAAGAGCAGCGAGGAAGTCAAGCCGAGGTCTTCGGACAGGATTCCGGTGGTGGTGGTGGTGGTGGGGGGGGGTGGATCTGGAGACAGAGGGTGTTTGGTCCGCTACAAGATGACTGATAGATATTTGGTCGGAGAGGACTTACAGTCTTTAAGTGTGGATGACTCGAGAGGGGAGCGGGTCCGGTCTGAGGTCTAGGAGCTTACTTGCGGCAGGGTTCCTGAGCGTTTTAGGTGGAGGGAGCTGAGCATGGAGGTTGGTGTAGATCTGGGTGGGTTTAGGTGGGCTGTCGGGAGTAGGGAGACCAGGAACGTACCGAGAGATGAGTGGGGTGACGAGGAGTTCCAGGTTGCTGTCTGTCTGAGGGGGAAGTGGAGTGATTTCTGCAGAGATGGTGAACAGGAGGTCAAACATACAAAATCTATAGCTCGTATCAAAATACTCAAAAAGGCGGAAAAGCTCAAAAGCTAGTTCTCTGAATTGGCTGTTTGGTGATAAATCGAGTTAATCATCCAGCGAAGTGAAGGCGTCTCTCAGGTGCTTAAGTATCCCTGGCCGGCTGATGAGCAGATGACCTGCAGCTTCCCCACTTCCAGACACGCCCACCTGCAGAGAGAAAACTCAAAACCAATTAAAGTGGAAGGAGAAAACCCCAGAACGTGACAAAAAGAAAAGGGCACAAAAACACAACGTGACAGGATCGGTTATTCACACTTTATGAAACCATTTACAAACATCGTCTGATACCATTGGTTTGAAATATTAATCACGGCCCTGTTGAGCTACAGAACATGAACTCAACTTTAAAACAATTTTACTCGTTGTCTTCATTTCATCCAAGCCAAGTCCCACAGGATGAGAAGAAGGAAAAAGCTGTGAATCTTCTTTTTCTTTATCAACAACTTGGGTTCAACTGTTGGGGCTATTTGAGAAGCATGCACCTCAGTGTATGATAGTTATTCATGTGTGTTTAGCCTCCTCCAGGGGCTAAATCATTTATGCAGCACAGACGGCTTCTAGGGGCTTAAGCTGCTGACTCTCTTCCTTGTCGTGGAAGCCAGTAGCATCAGAGGAAGGCTGTTTAGCTTTTTGAACAGACGTAGGGGGGAGGGAAACCCCAGAGAGACTGATCTCCATATCCTCAGTCCAGCTGAACTGACTTTGGATTACACTGCATCTCATTAAATACTCTTTTAAGTATGCCCCCCCCCCCCCGAACATCTTGAAGTCCCTGTGGCTGTAGTGGCAGCGCGGTGAGATCTGTAGTTGTCCCTCAAGATATATGAGCAGGAAAATAACGAATATTGCTTTAGAATTAAAAAAACCCTCTTGATTAAAGGAAGAATATTAATCCCATAATAACACAGCTAACTGACTTTAGAAAACACAAAAATGAATACAACTCAGTGTATTCTTCAGATATGGAGGTAAACTTTGATAGGTGACCTCATCACACACACAGTCCTATGCAATCATAACTCCATTCAAAAACTGTAACTCCATCATTTCTCAACGAGTGATGATCTTACTTTCCAAGCATTGCATAAAAGTGAATCAGTGATTCAGTTACTTCAAAGACATTTTTCTTATATCAAATATGTTAAATTCAGTCAAGATTTCTGAAGGGCAAAGAGGTTTATGATTTGGTGAAGACTCAGTCTGGGTAGAGGAGTCCACTAGAGTGAATATCACTGCTGCTGAGGTTGTTACGGCTGCTGCTTGTCACTCGTTCCCTCTGCAACACGTTCCACCGGGCGTAGCATGCAGAACACTAGCTGGGACTTATCTTTGGTTTTCAGAACCACAGGCTGCATGCACATATCACAAAATCAGCCAGTTAGTGATGTCTTCTATTGTCGCCATGTTTGTATATTTATACATATATATGGACAATGGGTTTCCATAGACTCCAATAACACGTTTTTGAGGAAAAATGGGAGGTGGTCACCACCGCCATTTTGACCGTGTCACAGGTTCCATCAAGCCCAGACAATTCCACAAAAGGGAAGAGAGGTGGACCTGAGGGTGGGGCTGTAAGGCTGGGATCAAATGACGACACCCGGTCGAACTAGCTACAAGCTAACCCAAAGCTAACGCGGAGGAGGGAGCTAAGCTAATGAAAGTAGCTACAGCCTATAAATAAAGCTTTGATTGATTGATTGACAGCCGGAGCTAACTCTGTGGAATGCCAGCGACCTGAAGCTCTGTGTGGAGGTTTGCGGCACTTTTTCATGAAAACTATCTTTCTGTGAATAAAAAAGAATTAAATCGGTAAGTTAATAAGTTATTTCCTTAATGAAAATATATTTTGCTTTGAGCAAGTTTTCAATATTTTTATCGTACCATAGTTTCCGGACTATAAGTCGCTCCGGAGTATAAGTTGCAACAGCCATAAAATGTATAATGAAGAAGAAAAGAACATACATACTGGACACACTTGACTATAAGTCGCATTTTGGGGGGAAACTTTATTATTTTTCTTACAAAATCTGAGACCAATGCGTTTCACATTGCAAGACAAGTACCAGTAACAATAACAGAATAAACAACGCGGGCGCAGCAGAGCGACACGGTCTCCAGTAGAGGATGGCAGTGTTTGAAACCCTCCCAGAGGGACAGGGGAGCTCATTCCTGGGTCAGAGCCGGCCCGCAGCAGCGCACACCAGTCTCCATCAGCTGATGGCTGTGTGTTTTTAGTTCCCGGCGGGTCAGGGGAGCTCACTCCTGGGCCAGATCAGGTGCGCCACAGGCTCCAGCAGGTGATGGCTGTGTGTTTTTTATTCCCAGCGGGGCAGGGGAGCTCATTCCTGGTCTGGAGCCGGCCCGCAGCAGTGCGGTATAGCCTACATAATTTGGTATATAAGTCGCTCCTGAGTATAAGTTGCAGGACCGGCCACACTATGAAAAAAAGTGTGACTTATAGTCAGGAAAATACGGTAGTTATTAGTATTTGAGATAAATTAGCAGGCTAAATCCATTTCATATATTTCTAAAACTTAATACTTGTTTGTATCTTGTACAGCCAAGTAGCCTTTATTCTGGACTCAGTACAATTCACCAAAAGTAAAGAGACATTATACAGATGAAGTAAGCACAAGATAACTCACTGGAAGAAACTGAATTATCATGAGAACCAGAACAAGAGAGCCTGATAACAGTCCTGTGAAAACTGTCGTCGTCGTCTTCCTCCGCTTATCCGGGTCCGGGTCGCGGGGGCAGCATCCCAACTAGGGAGCTCCAGACCGTCCTCTCCCCGGCCACCTCCACCAGCTCCTCCGGCAGGAACCCAAGGCGTTCGCGGACCAGATTGGAGATGTAATCTCTCCAACGTGTCCTGGGTGGATCCGGGGGCCTCCTGCCGGCAGGATATGCCCGAAACACCTCCCCAGGGAGGCGTCCAGGAGGGATCCTGACCAGATGCCCAACCCATCTCAACTGACTCATTTCGATCCGGAGGAACAGCGGTTCTACTCCGAGTCGCTCCCGAATGTCCGAGGTCCTCACCCTATCTCTAAGGCTGAGCCCGGCCACCCTACAGAGGAAACTCATTTCGGCCGCTTGTATCCGCAATCTCGTTCTTTCGGTCATTACCCGAAGCTCATGACCATAGGTGAGGATTGGGACGTAGATCGACAGGTAAATCGAGAGCCTGGCTTTCTGGCTTGGCTCCCTCTTCACCACGACAGATCGGCTCAGTGTCCGCATCACTGCAGAGGCTGAACCAATCCGCCTGTCAATCTCCCGATCCCTCCTACCCTCACTCGTGAACAAGACCCCGAGATACTCAAACTCCTCCACTTGAGGTAGGACCTCTCTCCTGACCCGGAGTTGGCAAGCCACCCTTTCCCGGTTGAGAACTATGGTCTCAGATTTGGAGGTGCTGATCTTCATCCTTTGAAAATAAAAATTAAAATGTATGTATAACAGAAATAAAAATATATTAGAATTAGTGTAACTTACTGTGATCCAAACAATAAATCAGCCATAGCTGATTAGCAATCATGAAATGAGGTATGGGAGATTTTAAGTTTCATTCTTTTATTACATTTTTTTCTTATATCTGTTAAAAGGTCACCATGGCAGCCTGTGTGTCTCCAAATGATAATGATAAATGACCAACACCTCTCAGAGTAAGGACTCCAAAGCGCTTTACACTACAGTGTATCATTCATCCATTCACACATACATTCACACACTGGTGGGGATGAACTACGATGTAGCACAGCTGCCCTGGGGCACACTGACAGAGGCGAGGCTGCCGAGTACTGGCGCCACCGGACCCTCCGACCACCACCAGCAGGCAAGGCAGGTTAAGTGTCTTGCCCAAGGAAACAACAGCAGAATTCGCTGTCCGGAGCCGGGATTGAACCTGCAACCTTCCGATTACTGGACAACCCACTCAACCTGTTGAGCTACTGCTGCCCCAACATCAGCTACACAACGCAGCAAGTGTAAGTACCAAGTACCTGTCTTGACCACTTCATGAATGGTTTTGTACTTTAAACAGCTAGGCCAAACCTGTTGTTTTTTCTCCACAGCCATTTGGATCATTGGAGACAGCTATGTGAGGTGTGGTGCCCAGAGAGCTGCAGAGAACCTCTGAGACAACCTTGGCCTCCTTGACGTCCATGTCTCCTGGTTCGGTTGGGGCAGACTGAGGTGGAAAGACCTTCTCCCCTTCTTTTTCCACTCCCTGTGAGGAAGAGCAGCTCCTGATGTCCTTCTCATCTACTGTGGTGACAATGACATGGGGGTGGTCAGCAGTGTGAAGCAGGTCAACATGATAAAGGAGGACCTGCACCGGCTTCACCTTCTACACCCTTATATGATGATCATCATGTCATCCATCACCCATAGATGTAGCTGGAGGGCAGTTGTAAAGCCTGCTAAAATTGAGAAGGCCAGGAGGTTTGTTATGGCTACTTTTATTTCTAGCTTAAATGGTGCCGTCGTTGTGCATCCTCACATCAGACGTGACAGTCCAGGGACATTTTTGTCAGACAAAGTTCATTTCACAATGTAACATCTGTATATTATACAGCTAATGCTTCAATTTTTTCAATCTTAACCAAAATATGAAGTAATGTGTTTGTACCCTGGAGTCCGTGGTGAAGTGATGACTCTCAAAGTGTTCACTGCACAAGCGGGAGTGTGAATTGGGAGTCCAGCACTCTCTTCTTTGGTTGCTTACCCAAAGGTCAAGCCTCTCTGGATCACCTAGAGAAAAACTTCATACAAAGAACTACTTAAGTATATGGGTTTAAAATACTTAATGGCTTATCATGGCCTGTAGTAAAAAGTCTAAAATTAGGATAAAGAGCAATACAAAATGCATACTTTATAAAAAAAATGTAAAACCAAACACTTGAGTCTATCGCCTTATTGGATAGGATATGAACCTTTTAATAATCAATTTAATTAACTAATTTCCATTTTATTAAACTGCACTAGTTCCCATGAGAACAGGGCACCCAGTCGCGGCTCTCTGTGGACAAATTAGTTATTTAGTCGCTCCCCACCACCCCTATTTTACAAATATGCAAAAAATGTAAAAGACAAGCGCGTTTATCTGATGGCATACAGACTTCTGGAGACTAACATCAAGCACTATCAACCATCTCACCGAGCTGCAGCATTTCTGCGGTCAGGTCTCTCTCCAAGTCCCAGAGCTCCACAAGTGGTCAGCCCGCGCAGCAGACAGGCGCCGCAGCGGTCAGCGATGCGCCGGGGTGACCGCTGGGGAACTGGGTGGAATAATTGAACACAGAAGTCTCCCTCCGAGAGCTCCACCAACATGTCATATTTCAACCCATTTTTATGTTAAATGGCTACATATACCCTATTAATGTTTTTACTGTATTACATCTAAATTTTATGGTTAAACAGTACATGTTAAAATGGTAGTTAGCTAGCTACTTTGATAAGCTCAGCTAGTGCAAGAGCGGCAGTGGCCTAAAATACACAAATATAATTTTACTTACCAAAAAAAATCGAAGTGGAGACTCCTTGGATGCTCTATTATTGCAATTAATGCCACAGCAAGTCGTTTGTCAAACAATTGCACACATAATATCCAAAAAAGAATACACAAACACAGAGACTCTAAATCCCGAAACAGTTTCCAGGCCAGACCGAGGCTCTACTGAGGCCTTTCCACAGAGCTAGCTCTGTGGTCACGTGGGTCTGATGCTCATTAATTATTCAGAATTTTAGGCATTTAATACACTTAAACAGAAGAGTGAGAAAAACATTCACCCCCTCAGAGTTATCATGAGTGTAAACTAGATCATTTAAACCAAAAACATGTTTTGGAACCAGGCTGTAAACATGTTTATTTCTGCTGTGAAATTGGTATTTTTAACATGGGAGTCAAAGAGGATTTGCTCGCTTCTGATAACAGCCCCTAGTGGATGAGGGTGGAACTGCAATTTATTTCACTTCCGCATTGGCCTCAATTTCAGACCTGTATTGTGGAGGCTCGGTTGTACCCCACAAACTCTCCTGCTCCACTAAAGGAACCCTTCGGTGCAGTGCATCAGCAGCAAGTCTTTTCACAGACACAGACTGCTGGGTGCATCAGCGCAAGCTTAAGGAGCAAATTTATCTCCAGCCATAGCTTTTAGGATGATTTAACTATTTTTACTCAGACCTACTGGTGCCTACTTTTACGGGCTTCAAAACCACCTCAATTAGATTTAGATAAACATTAACCAAGGGCTGTGTGGTAGTGCAGCTAGTAGCCTCACAGCAAGGTTCAGCTGACAAAAGTGATAATATAAAGATTTAGGAAATACTAGTACCGTGACACGCAGCACCAACTGGACAGCTGCAATGTCTGACAGTGGCAAAGCCCCAGATTACTAGAATTTTATGTCTTATATTAAACACATCTTGTTCATTTTTGCCACTTCAATTTTAAAGGAGCAGATGTTTGCCTGGCTATTGCTAAAATAGGTGTAATGAACAAAATGGGTCAATTTTCACCATCGAATTGACACAGTAACCTTTCATGCATGCCAGAGCTGCAAAGTCAAGGTTACGCCAGCTGGAGGATCCAGCCCCACAAATCAACCTTTTGTTCACTTATTGTTCTTCAGTGCAGACATAAATAAACTGTCAAGGTCTCCCACGGAAGTCCTTTCCTCTCTTATCTCAGACTGCTAGATTACTCACTCTGAATAAAAGTGAATCCACACGAATCCTACAAGACTTTACAACTCATAAGTTAAATAATCATATGATGAATGAACAAGATATTTAAATGAAATGTTTGAACAACCTGTGCTTAAATCAATGAATTAGAAATGAATATTGCTCTTACAATGATCCATTCATGTCACAAATCACTGTGTTTGATTTAACAAGTTAATCATTGTTTACACTCATACACATTACAATAAGGTACAAATTAAGGTTAAGGTTCACCTCACATACAGTTTAAAGATTCTTATTCACAGAGTTAAGAAGCTTGTATCTGAAGGAAGGAGTGACTTTCTGATGGATGTTGGTAAACACCCAAAGACATGGCACATTCTGATTTGCCAGGATGGAAATCATAACAAAGCAGCTGAATAAAACAACAAATCCTTCCCAATTAATTCAGTTTCCAGCTGAGCGCTATTTGGGAAAGAAGCCTCTTTTAAAACATCTCTTTTGACATACAGTCAACCTGTTAGCACACTGCAAGCTGACACAGCCAGACGGCTCCCTACGAGCCACATCCACTTTAGAAGCAAACAAGCATTCCAGCTACTGTTGTGACCTGGAGACATCTCAAGACTGGACGGGTTGTATCGGATTTAATCTACGAAATCCCGGGGCCGTGACGTCCACCCGACTTCTGACGGTCCGAATCTGCCCGGGGTCTCCACCAGGGTTTTTAGACACAACGTCTAAAAGCAGCGTCTGATGCTGCTTCATTAATAATCAACCCTCTAGTTTATAGCAGAAAACAAATTCTTTTACACCCAGATGTCACAATTTCTTTCAGACAAAGATTCTGATAAACATCTAGCTTACATCACACCACCTACACATCACATTCCATCACCGCACATCCACTCCATCACATCTCATAAGTCATATCTTGTCGTGTATAATCATTAGTTTAGAAAAGAATAAAATTCCTTTTTAACTACATACTTATTCTGTCTGAATTAATATGAAGTGTGTTTATGGTCCCTGAACTAGCAAAGAACCCTAGAATCCTCTGATTAAACATTCAAACATCAATCAGATTGATATTTCATATTCATATGGAATAATCACATCTTATTGGTCATAATTAATTTGAAGTTGTCATATAAAGTGTGACCACTACATAGGAAAAAACCTGGATTTTTTTACACATAGTGCTAATTCCAAATACTGGAAGATGTTCAGAGTTCAGATTTTAATGCTTGAATGTCTTAAACAGAATAAGTTCATTGACTGAAGAACCTCCAGGAAGCACAGAAAGCTATTTCCAAAGAACACTTGGCTCAACACATTCAGAGCAATATCATCTGGAACCTTCCTCAGTTCAGAGCTTCACCTCCAGGTCAACCTGTGTGACTTTTTAACAACCTTCTTAAAGGAAGTGCTTGAAAGATTAATGTCTCCTTAGGCCAGTGTGTGTGTGTGTGTGTGTGTGTGTGTGTGTGTGTGTGTGTGCGTGCGTACGTGCGTGCGTGCGTGCGTGCGTGCGTGCGTGTGTGTGTGTGTGTGTGTGTGTGTGTGTGTGTGTGTGCGCGTGTGTGTGTGTGTGTGTGTGTGTGTGTGTGTGTGTGCGTGCGTGTGTGTGTGTGTGTGTGTGTGTGTGTGTGTGTGTGTGTGTGTGCGTGCGTGTGTGTGTGTGTGTGTGTGTGTGTGTGTGTGTGTGTCCCATTGTTGAGGAAAAAGCAGTGCTTATACAGCTGTTTAACACTGTTTAAAGACCTCTGGGGTAAGCAGGTAGAGGCTTTTGTTCTCACCTTGCAGGCATGATTCTTATCTTTCTAACAGCTTTTATTCATTCGTCTGATTTCACCTTTAGATCAAACATTAGTGTGCTTGGTCCTCACTCTTGCTTTCCACAACACTCTGCACGCATATCAGTGTGTCATTGTTTCATCTGTGGCTCTTTCTGCTTGGTTTGCCGTGTTGAATAAAAAAACTGTGCTGTACAGTTGGTATGGAAAGTACTCAGACCCACTTAAAATTTTCACTTTGTCATATTGCAGTCATTTGCTAAAATCAATTAAATTAATTGTTTTCCTCATTAATGTCCACACAGCACCCCATATTGACAGAAAAACACAGAATGTTGGAAACGTATGCAGATTTCCTAAAAAAGAAAAACTGAAACATCACATGGTCCTAAGTATTCAGACCCTTTGCACAGTATTTAGTAGAAGCACCTTTTGAGCTAATACAGCCAGGAGTCCTCTTGGTAAAGATGCTACAAGTTTCTTACACCTGGATGAGGAGATCCTCTGCCATTCCTCCATGCAGATCCTCTCTAGTTCTGTCAGGTTGGATGGTGAGCGTTGGTGGACAGCCATTTTTAGGTCTCTCCAGAGATGCTCAGTTGGGTTTAAGTCTGGGCTCTTGCTGGGCCATTCAAGAACAGAGTTGCTGTGAAGACACTCTTTCATTATTTTAGCTGTCTGCTTAGGGTCATTGTCATGTTGGAAGGTAAACCTTCGGCCCAGTCTGAGGTTCTGAGCACTCTGAAGAAGGTTCTTGTCCAGGAGATCCTTGTACTTGAGGGTGTAGGGCCATCTCAAGAATGGTCAGAAGAAATGGAAAGCACCTTAATTACATATACGCGTGTCAGAACTGTTGAGGGTCTGACCTCATGAGGAAATTACTATGCAGTGATTTTCTCCAAAATGACTGTGCTTAAATTGCTCTGAAAAGCAAATAATCACATCAGCGCCAAGAAACTTCATTTCCCATGATGCTTTGCACACGGAAGCATTGTGATGATGTCACCGCCTAGTACCAGAAACACGTTCTGCGCATGTGCGGGAAGCCGTGGAGCTTTTCCCGCAAACTAAGACCATAAATCTTCAGCAGAGACAAAGAAACCTCGTTCTTTTGCCCAGGATACCTGGCGGTTAGGACACGCTTGTCAACGCTCCGACAACTTGAGCACGCGGAAGCTCTAAGTGCCCGAGTTGAGCCCACGGAACTGCTGGAAACTAAACTGCGAGCCCATCAGATCTGCTCGTTTCTGCTCCCCTCCAGCTGATGTTTGAGGACACAG